ATTTAGATCCATTAATAGTTTCCACTCTGGAAAGCTCAAAAAGACGAGTTTGTGAGCATTTATATTAGAAATTTAGTTTCTAGGAGTAACGCTCATCTGCACAGACCTGTTAATTAATGTTTTTTCAAACATCCTCCTGCTAATTCTCCCATTTATATATTCCTGCTATGATCAAAAGCAAAACAGTCGAATTATTGACGAAGTATTTTGTGCTTCTTAGGCAAATTGAGCATCATGCTGGGTAAGTGTGATATATAATTTATCGTTAATGTCGCTGTCGCAGGTGCCGTTGCTGTTATTGTTTCTGTTGCCATTGTTACTCTTGTTGTTGTTGTTGTTTTATTGTCATATTATTGTTGTTGTCGCTGTTGTTGTTTGATGGTGGTGGTGGTGATTGTAGAGATTATGGAAACGGTGGTAGTGGTAGTGAAGTTCCTCAAGGTATGGCTGGTGTTGTGCCGTCAAAACTTTATTAAAATTGTCAATGGACTGAGAACATACACTCATGGACAGTGTGATCGTTGGAACACTTCATAAGGGTAGCTGACAACTATAGCGAATAGCAGATCATTGTAGTGAGTGGTTGGCGGGTGCTCTGGTGTGGTTTGTTTCTTTTTTCCTATCAAACATCTATCGTCCTTATCTCCCTTTCATCTTTTTAAAGTTTGTTACGCTCTTGTAACACCTCTAATCTTCTGGCGCTCATATGACCTAATGCAGTTGCGAGCGCCGTAAAATCTCTCTACTAAAACTAAAAATTAAAGATCATTGCCCTTCAACCCTTGAGGCCTCCAAGGCAGAGGTGACGCCTCAAGCCATCCAACCAGTCAACGAAAACAGATTGAACGATGATTTATGCTCGAACTAGGTTGTTGTTAGGTATTCAAAGTGTAAGTGTTCTTACTACTTCCTATACTATCTGTTCTGGAAGTAATTGAAGTTAAGAGAAGAAAACAGTTTTATTAAAAGTGTAACAGGAATGATCAGTTATTACGACATTTACCAAAATGATTTTGACTACTACAAAGGCACCAGAGAGAGAAACCTGAAAGCCAGCTGATGTAATGATAATACTGTTGTCAAGACTCACTTCATCTGTGTATCGGCCACGGTGCTCGGTGTTGAAAGAAATAAAGACGACCCACCACCACTCCCTTTTTTTACTACGTAGAAAAGCGTGTGTGTGTGTGTGTGTGTGTGTGTGTG